GGGAACAGTGAGGTGTTCTGCTCCTGTAGGGAGACCCAGACACCCATGGGCAGTCCTGCTCTGCCTGACAGGGTCACTGTGTGCTGGAAACGACCTGAGGGCAACAGGACAACCTTCTTTCTCCCATGGAGGGGCAGACAAGCAACGGGGCACTTAACCCTTGCAACCACAAGGTTCTGCTACACCTAAGGGTGGAGAACAACCATTGTATGCGGTGGGGGAGGTTGCAGGTGGAATCAACCTGGTCCTAAATCGAATTCGCTCCAAGCATTTCACCGTCTCCAGTCTGAGAAAGCGACTGGGCTGCTGCTCTCGAGCAGGCTCTGGCCCCAACACCTGGTGGCGGGAATTCCCTCAGCCCACCTTATAGGTGAGGGCAGTGAGGGAGGCAGCTGAGCCAGCTAATAAAACTGTCCTTTAAAAACAATCCACCCCACCCCCACCCTGCAGGGTCATGGTACTTTGGACCCTGCACCCCAGTGTCTGGTGCAAGGCAAGTGAGCGAGGCCTAGCCGGGCGGGCACTGCCTGCGTACCTTGACGCAGCAGCAAAGGCAGCGGCCCGGGCAGCCGTGGCCTCTTCCAACTTCTTCCTCTTCTTCTCCTCCATGAGCTGCTTTTCTACAAAGCTTCGGGCTTCCTGCTCGGCTTTTAGCTTCTTCTCCAACTGGCTGATACTCTGCTTGTCTTTTTGCTTCATTTGCACCGCATTATGTAACCTACGTGGAAATGATGTTACAATGGAGCGCTATCATTCGAAACGCCCCCTCCCCAGGGCCGCCCCACCCCCATGCCTTGGAAAAACATGGCTTTTATCATTTTCAGGGCAAGCCCATAGGAGGTTTAAACAGCAAACCATAAACATCATTGCCAGAGTACCCAGAGAACCCACACTGCCAGTGATTGAACAAGTCCTACGTTCTAGTACACAAGCTCCCTGACAGCGGGTAGCTCAAAAACAACAGAAGGAACTTCATTCCTACCAGGGACCCACCAGTGGGTCCAGCCCTATTAGCAGCCCCGGAGGCAAGGCGGGGGTGGGGGTGGGGGCGCTTCCTAAATACAGTTATGCTGCAGCCTCCTGCAGCCTCTGCTTCCAGCAGTGCGAGGTCTGCTCAGAGCATCTCAAAATAGATCTCTTCCTTAGAGTCACAGCATGCCGCCTGTCAGAGAGCCTTTCAGCCAGATTCCCTTCCCTGCCTGCCACTGCCCCAGCTTTCCACACGGACCAGCGCGAGCGCAGCAGGGCTGGCCTCCGAGTGCGAGCAGCTTTGCCTGTGGTGCTCTGCTCAGCTACCCGCCCAAGGGCGAAGGCCTTCTCTTTCCCCGTGGGAAAGCCCGAGGCCCAGGGCCTGCCCGCCCCAGCCTCTGTCCCCATCACAGGCACACACTGCTGAGAGACTCCAGACAGGCCCACAGCGAGCAGAGAAGCAATTCCAGAATGAAGGAACGAAAAGCTGAAAAAGAACTCACATGCAAGAGCTGGCTTTCTATCCTCTCTCTCCAAATAAAATCAAGCAGAGATCAACGTCATTTGTTTAGTTCTGAAATCAAAGTGAACGTAGGGGACCCTCTGGAAACCTCCACTGAAAGGAACAGGTGTCTCAAAATGGGGCAGAAATGACTTCTTGTCAATCTTACTTATTTCACAAAAGCTCAGTAACTGCCTTGAACCGAGAGAAGACATCGGTGAACGAGGAGGCAGAATAACCAACTGTCCCTGGGTGTGAGAATAGGGTTTCATCGATTTTACACGCATGTGTACACACGTCTTCAGGCGGGGCAACCCAAGTAAATACTTGAAAGAACTTAGAATCCAGGAAGTCTTCTGGGAGGCACGGCACGGCGAGGCGCCGCTGGGGCTGGGGTGGCACCTACTTGTTCTGCAGCAGCTCGTTCTCCTGCCGGAGCTGGCCCATTTCTGTGCGGATGCCTCGCTCGGTGCTCGACAGGGAGCCGATCTGGCTGCGGAGCTCTTGTTCCACCTGCCTGCTGGCCTGCAGGTCCGCCTTTAACTTTTTAATGTCTTGTTCCAGCCTAGGAAAAAGAGAGACGCAGCGTTTTCATCACAGAGCGGTCCCCCAGGGCTGTGGGAGGGTGGGGTGGGGGGGGTGGCAGAGGACCCCCTGGCAGCACCATCAGGGGGTTCCCATCCACAGGCACCTTCGGAGTGCATCTACCTGGGTCGCAGGCTCTTTCCAGTAGGGCCGATTTGTGCTTTCCCTCATGCGTGCGCACTGCAGGGACAAGCAGGGGTCTTGAGTTTGCTAACACAGGAGCAGAGGAAGGCAGGGGGAACGTGGTGGAAGCGGCGATGGTCCCCTCCCTGCTGGTGGATGGGAGCAATCCACAAGGTCTTCGGTTTGAACCGCTAGGCGCTCCACGGGAGAAAGAACCCACAGGGACGATTCTGCCCTGCCCTATAGGGTCGCCTGAGTCAGAACTGACTTGATGGCGGTGTGTTTGAGGGGCAGGTGCGACCCACCCTGTCTGCCTTGAGATCCCCTGGCAGGCAGAGCCCCTCGCCCACTGGCTCTGAGAACCTCCGGAAACGCTAGCATCCTTGCTGACACGGTGATGCTCACCCACCGAGGGAGCAGTTCACTGGATCCAACAACAAGGCAGACCACGCTCCGTGCTCGATGGGCAGCAAAGCAACCCCATCTGTGTGTATCTCTTCTCTGCAATGCCTACTGCTCGCCCAGCTACTTTCTTCCCAACAACGGCAGATTCCATCGTAAGCAGTAGGAATTAGGAACCTTTTATGTACTGAGAGGGGTCAACAAAAAGGATAAAATCCGGTCCCTTTCCTCACGGGAGACCTTTACAATTCCACAAGGGGCCAACAGATACTTGCAATGATTAAGCAATGCCACATGGAAGGCAAGGAGGGATGCTCTTACAGCTAATACTTACTGGGAACTAGGGGCCAGGCACTGGCAGCCAGACTCGTATGGCACTCACTCACTGAAGCGACACAGCCACCGTGAAGCACCACCAGTCACCCCTCTTTTGCAGAGGGGACGTGGGTCTGAGAAGTGTCAGCCCCGGGCCGTCCAGCTCCACAGTCCACTCTCTTCAGCACGGGTTCCCGGCATGAGTTCCGGGGAGGGAAGAGCAGGCAGGGGTTGGGTTGACTGAGGAAGGGAACCAAGTGGGGCCCCGAGGCTGTGGGGGAGAAGGAGGTGGCATTCTAGACCAGAGGCAGAAAGCTCAGGTAGGGAAGCATCAGCTGCCCCAGGTGGACGCAGTTGGCACAGCATTACCCAGCACACCAAGAGGACTGTCATTCTAGAGAGCTGGTAGTGATCCCTCTTTGGAGCGGTCAGCTTTGAACATGAAATCTCCAAGTGCATACCTAAGTGGTGCAAACCGTTAACACCCCCAGCTGCTAACGGGAAGGCCAGTTTTGAGCCCACTCTCGGGCACCTTCAGAAGAAAGGCCTGGCCACTGTACCAAAAAACTAGCCAATGAAAACCCTGTGGAACACACTGCGACACACCTGGGGTCACCGCGATTCAGAAGTGACTCGGCGGCAACCAGGCAAGGAAACCCTGGGGGCGCGATGGGTTGTTGGTGCAGTCTGAATCCCCCAGCTGCGCAGAGGGAGGCAAACATGTAGTCAGCTGGCGTTCTGGTCTGTCCCACAAGGCCACGAGGTTCAGAACCGACCAAACACGACACAACAGCGTGGAGTCAGGCACTCAGTGTGGCTGCCTGGCCTCCCTGAAGACTCCAAGAAGCACGAGGATTTCTCTGGCTACTTTTTGCAACTTAAGGAAAAGTAGCCCAAGAGCACACGTCACGAAGCCCGAGCAGACCAGCCAGCTCCTGTGGAGCACCTGGGCGCACAGGTGAGACACCTGGTCACTCAGAAGCTCCGCCGGTCCCGACAGAGCTCGCTCCCCAGGGCAGGGTCACGAGTTGCTATCACGCCACCTGTTCCCTTTTGCCAGGGTTATTCCAGTTGAACGTGTGCTTGATAAGGTTCTGCCCAATTTCAGATCTGCGCCCAGCCCACCACCATGTGGTTGGTCCCCTGCTCACCTCAGGGGACCCAAGGGGTACACACCCAAATTGGGTCAACGTGCATGGCAGGTAATCCCTGCAAAGGTAATTCTCTTTCTTCAGGAAGGAAGCCACTTTCCCGGCCTGCAGATGGCATTTAGAGGAGGCACGTTTTTAGACGAGAACAGGGCACAGCACGCTTGAGGGAAGGACCTCGGGGACAGGGTTCTGGACTCAGCCCTGGGCCACCTCTAAGTTGTGGACAGCATGTACCCTCCCAGGCCTCCGTTTCTCCACCTGAGACCTAGGATCTCTGACGTTCCTCCATGCCTGGTGTAGGGTTTCTGGCTCTGACACACTTTGCAGACGACTGCTGAGGTCCAGCAATCAAGTTTCCTGGTGCTGCCGGCCGGCCGGCCACCCAGGGGAGATGGGGCTGCCACTGGGAGGGAAGGGACGGGGAACCCTGCTGCGGCCAGACCTCAATCACTTTGCACTTACTGCTTTTCTTTCTTTTTTTTCCGCATTTTCAAATCTTACTAAACCTGTTTTTCTCCCATGAACTAGGAAGGGTCACAATAGTCGAGTGAGACGTGACAGTGCCTTACAAACAAACAAACAAACAACATCCAAAGCATATTAGGAATCTAAGTGGGGGGGGGGGGGAAGGGGGGGCTCCACCGTCTCCGGACACCCCTGCTCTCCCCCCACCTCCACCCCCACAGGTCTAGCTGTCCTATGGGGTTGCCTTGAGTGTGGAGCTGGGGTCCACGTGGGAAAACCAAGTGCAAACGACCGGGGCAGGGAGGTCACCTCTGGGTACCAGGAATCGCAGACTCGGTCCTCCCTTGCTTCCCCAGTGGAGACTCTACTTCAGTGCTGTCCAGGACATAAGGGCAGATACAAAAGCCCAGACAACAAACACCAAACCAAGTGGCTACAGGGATATGCTCCTGTTGTGGAATTCTGGCTGCTTCAGGATTTTCCACGGCGGCTACCGTAGATTCTATGGATACCTGAGTGGTTACTGACTTCCCAAGCCTGTGAGTTAACACCGGCGTCCCCGAGTTGAAGGAACACTGGTCCCAGGAGCAGTGAACGGAAAATGACTTCCAACTGCTACGTGGCAAATTCGCAGTGATGTAAAAAATTTATGATGGGCAATTTTTCATGGTCTCTCCACAGAAAAACAGTAATTTAACCTTGAATGTTCACGCTATATTTTAAATCTTTACTAGGCAGTAACATGATTTACAATTCTTTATTGGATTTATTTTTCATTACAAAAGCGATACCCAGTCAGCAAAAACAGGTGCGACAGAAACCACGGGAAAGAACACAGGCGACTCAAGCCTTGCATCCAGGCAGACGGGTCTCACACGCGAGGCGTCTGCGTGCTTGCTCCTTGGTGACCACACGCACACTGGCGACGCAGAAGCACCTCTCCGCGCCCCGCGATGCTCTTCCTAAGAACTCCATCACTGCGCAACGTGCAACAGGGTGAAACCACACCACAACCCGGCTTTCTAACACACAGCTCAGTTTGACACCAAAAAACGTGCTATTGGGCGTTTTAAAAGAATTCTGTCAATTAGTAAATTGGACTGAATCAAGCCGGTCAAGAGCTGTGGGCGCCTCTTCAACAGACAGCCGCTACTGGTTTTAATGGTGTACTTAACCCTTGGGTGCTGAAGGTGAAACACAGAGTCACAATGAATCATGTGAGGCACCAATTAGTTCTCATTAAATGGTGTTAACAGGTTAAAAAAATCTTCAAATGTATTCATGGGATTTTTATTAAAATGTCAACAGCTGCGACCTGAATTAAAAGCATGTCATCAGGAAGCAAATGAGGCTGGAGCAAGAGTTTACAACCCTTGCCACTAATCTCAGGAAATAGGGGTCAAAAGGGAGGGGAGCCATTACATCCATAAGCTCAGACCGCTTTAGCGGTGCTCTGCCGCTCTCATCCGCACCCTGTGAAGGCGCAGAGGTAAGAGAGAACGTTCCCTGGGAAGAGCTACAATCCATTCCTTTAAAAAACAACAAACCCAGGACCAAATGGGTAGTATCCATACACTTCAACAAGGCTCAGCCAGGAAATAAAGGCACTTCCTGTTTGCCCAACTCCAGCGAGGCAGTTTCACCCTGACGAGGGCTGCCCGGTGCATCAGCACTTGGGACACAGACAGGGCCGATGGCAAAGCTGAAGTCTGTCTGTACTATCAGATACATCGGTCTCTGTCCGATTGTAAATGGCAGGGTTCTGATGAACTCAGAATGTTCCAGATTAAATCCCCAAACTTTTCCTGCTTTGCCAATCATTTTTAAAGACTGCGAGGCTAACCTCTGACGCCCTGACTCATAGCGAGAGCTGGAACGCAGCTACAGCTGAGCTTCCTTGGGTGGGTTGGTCTGACTTCAAAGCCAAATTGCCACGGTTCGGATACCTCCGACCCACTCCCAATCTTAGCAACCACTACAGCGTGTTGCTTCAAGTTACTGGCTGCTCTCAAGTTGGTCTCTGACTCATTGCAAGCGGAATACACCAGTGCCCAGTCCTGTGCCCCCTCCAAGATCAGGCCGCACCTCAGCCTGCTGTGACCTGTAGGGTTTTCACCTGCTGATGTTCAGAAGTAGCTCGTCAGCCCTTTCTTCCTAGACCCTCAGTCTGGAAGTGTCGCTGAAACCTGTTCAAAGTCCAAGCCAGAGAAAAGCCACCAGTGTCGGCTGCACGAGTCCTCGACTAGGAATCAGACCCGAGTCTCCCACACGGTGGGGAGAGCTCCGACCTCTAACTACAGCTTACCTCTTCTCTGATCACGACTTAGGAAAGTACCACATAAATGATCAATGACTGATTCTAAGAGGAGAGCATTAACATTTTTACAAGGGGTAATTTATCTGATCGAATGTTAGCAGGCACGGAAGTAGGAAAAACAGATGAAGACAAAGAGAGGTATTAAGAGTTGGCTTTTGGCTGCTGTGGGTCTTGTTTTGGGGTGTCTGAAAAGGTCTACATATATGT